GCCCCACTAGATAGTTGTATGTCATAGCTGCACATCCTTCTAGTTGCTGTATGTGGGACGCGGCCTCAGCATGGCCAGAGAAGCGGTGCGTCAGTGCGCGCCTGGGATCTGAACCTGGGCCACCAGCAGCAGAGCGCGTGCACTTAACCGCTAAGCCACGGGGCTGGCCCCGCTTTTAACCATTTTTAAGTGCACAGTCCAGTGGCATTAAGCACATTCACAATGTTGTGCACCCATCACCACCATCATCTCCAGAACGTCACCCTCTCAAACTGAAATTCATTACCCATTAATCACTAAGTTCTATGAGATTTCATCACGTGTAGATTCACGCGACCACAGTCAAGACACAGAACATTCCCCTCACAAGGACCCCTTATGCTGCCCATTAGGGCCACAGCCACCTCCCCACCACCGACCTCTTCTCCATCTCCACACTTGTCTCAAGAACACCATCTGAAGGGAATCACAGCATGTGACACTGAGCGCTGGTCTCAGCAGTCTGCTCCTTTCCATCACCGGGCAGGGCTCTCCACTGAGGGGTCTTTGATTGTGTCCCATTAGTGAACATTTCCGCATGTACTCCAACATACGTACGTGTATTTATCTGAACTACTATCTACCCAGCATATATGTCCTCAGGCCTCCGGGTGCTGGTGCTGTCCTGGCCCTGGGACACAGTCCAGGCAGATGAGGTGCTGCGTGGGGGCAGGAGGTGATACATGCCAGGTGGCCATGTGAGCTGTGACAGGGCTGGCAAGGCCTAGGGCGGGCCCCAAGTGGGTGGGACTGTCTTTGATCAGGTGGTCAGTGAGACCTCCCCACTTGGAATGCGTCTCATGGGGTATCTGGGGAGGTGCATCTGGGTCACAGGGAGCAGTAGCGCAAAAGCCTAGAGTCTGAAGGTGCCCTTAGTGTGGCCAAGAAACAGCTGGAGCAGAGGGAGGGAGAGGGAAGGCAGCAGGAGTGGGCGGGTGAGTCGCTCCCAGGGAGAGGGTGGCCCAGAGAGGGTGCAGGAAGGATCCACGATGTACAGGGATCACGCCACATGGTCTGTCATGTGGCGATGATGAAGGGACCTGGGCACATTATAAAGTATACACAACATCAAAATGAAAACCGGTGCTGCACTGATTTGAATAGCGTCCCCCCAAAATTCACATCCACTGGAACCTCAGAATACGACATTTAGAAATAACGTCTTTGTGAATGGAATTAATTAAAGATCTCAAAATGAGGTCATCCTGGGTTTAGGGTGGGCCCTAAATCCAATGACTGGTGCCCTCATGAGAGGACACAGAAACACCATGTGACAACAGGCAGAGACTGGAGTGATGTGGGCGACGCCTGGGGCCACCAGAAGCTGCAAGAGGCAGGAAGGATCCCATCCAAAGGCCTCAGAGGGAGGGAGGCCCTGCTGACACCTCAATGTTGGACTTCCAGCCTCCAGAGCTGCGAGAGAATCAAGTTCTGTTGTTTTAAGCCCCCGGTTTATGGAACTTTGTTCTGGTAGCCTGAGCAGACTAACACAGATTTGATAAAACTTAAATTGGACACCCTAACTCCTTCCACAGCACCACCTGCCCTTTCCCGAGACGGAGCTGGGCTTTTGAAGAGGACTCGAGGGCTGCAGGCTCACAGGGTGTGCCCCCAGGTCCTACACCACCAGGGCTGCCTGCCAAGGAGCCCACGGCCATCAAGTCCAGAGATGGCTGAGCCAGGGGTGCCAGCGGGTCCAGACCTGACCAGGCCACCCCGAGAGATCAGTGTCTCCAGGAACCTGGATGGAGATGCTCCAGGCTACGGCTCGGTCCGCACCTAAGCTGCATAACAATGCAAACTCCAGCCCAAGCCACTCCACACAGCTGGTTTGAAGCAACCACTGTGTCACCCAGATCCTGTGGGTGGGCAGCGGACAGCTCGTTTTTGCCTCAATGGGCCTGTCACTCGCCAGCAGGCCAGCCTGGGCTTGGTCACATGCTGGGTGCTGGCAAGGTCCGAGAGGGCAGAGGGAAGCTGCAAGGCTCTGAGGCCTCACTGGGGGCCATGTGGTCCCTTCCTGGCATCCTACAGGTCACAGGCCAGCCCAGGCTGAAGGCGGGGACAGACCCACCTCTCACAGGACAGGCGGTACAGAGCTGTGGCCATCTGCGATGATACAACTGGGTTGTCCAGGTTTGTATGTGCTCACGTGCTCACACGTGGTTTCCGAATTGGGTTTCTGGTCCGGAGATGAGCACGACCTTCTCCCTCTGAAAACAGGTGAGCGGCCACCTGCTCCTACCCGAAGACCCAAGGAAGGGAAGAGCCTCTACAAAGACAAGGGAGGGCAGACAGGACTTCCACAGAGGCCGGCAGGGCGGGCCGAGGGCAGGACGGCGCAGCACCCGTCCCCTCCTGCACCCTCAGGAGCCCTGCAGGAGCCTGGAGGTTTGTTCTCTGGAGCAAGCAGACATGGGAGCTTTGGAACTGGGGATGCTAGGCCTTAGGGCTGACAACTGGGAATTCAGGAAATTCCGCACCCTGAAGCTTGGGCCTCCCATCTTCAGACATGCTCCCAGAAAGGCTGTGAGTAGCCAGGTAACAGCTTGAGGCAGATGCTCAGAGAGCCTCTGGAGGGTGACTCTATCAACAAGAGGAGTAAAGGCAGAGGGGAGAGGAGCCAAGGTGGGGCAGTCCGCACCTGAGGCAGGAGTCCCTGCAGGGCACTGAGCCCACCGTCCACATGGGAACATGAGGCCGGAGGACACTGGAGAGGGAATCTCCAGGGAGAAGGGAAGCTGGCTCGCAGGAGTGTGTGGGAGACGGAACCAATGAGGGAGGGACAGAAACAATATCCAGACAGAAAATGAGGCCAGTAAAAACAGGCGGATGGCAGCTCCCTGGAAAACAAGGGCTAGGCAGGGACAGTTGTGCGTCTTGCCCCATGGTGCATGCTCCACAGCCCAATACCGATCCTAGATCACGTGGGGTGGCCACGGGGGGCAGCAGCAGGGAACGTGACGTGAGGAAGCCAAGTCCCTGTCCACAGGGCGGACGACAACAGGTGGTGCCCCAAAACAGCTGCAGAGCTTTCAGAGCAGATTAGTTCTCGAGGACACGGCTGGAAGGGGCGGCTCCGGCCTTGGCGGGGATTTGAGGGAGGTGCGACGGGGACTGCTGTCTCTCGGCGTGAGTCTGAGCACTCACCACTTGCCTTTTAGAAACATTTTCAAACTAAAAGAAACCTAAATGCACCTAACGTCAGCCACCACTCACTCGTTCATTCCACAACAATTAATCGGGAGCCTTCTCTAGGTCAGGTCCTGAGGCTCCTAGGGGCACAGGCGAGACCAGGACAGAGACCCTGGCCGCCAGGGCTCTCTTGCCATCCCACGACATTCCCTGACGGGTCAGCCCCAGGGAGGCATCTTGAGTGTCCGCCCTCCACAGAGTGCCATGTGACCAAGATGAAAGACTATGGATAATGAATGCCACTCAGGCCTGGGGTTACTCTACAAATCCCGTGTGGCGGCCTGAGAGAGAGAGAAAATGGATGCAAAACCATGTCTGGTTTCCAGAACACAAGGACCTCTTAAATTATAAGACATTAAAATAAAGCTTCTCGGAAAGGACTCTTGTTCTAGCTGCAGTTTGGAGTCAGATCAAAACTGAATTGCTCCTGAAAGCTCAGGCGCCGGCTTCTTATTCGAGGGGTGCCCAGCCCCCGTGTGCAGAGAAGACACCCAGCCAAGCGCACCAGCAGCCAGGCCCCCCGGTGACCCCATGGCTAATCTGCAAAGGGCCAAGGGCCCTTCTCCCGATGACCACTTCATCCCTAAGGGCCCTCAGGGACATGTCAGAAGCATCAGACTTTATTTGGGGGAGAGGAAAGTTCTAGAGCATTTTGCTGGACAAGCCGGTTGGCAGCAGCTGAGCTGCCCTCACCGGGGCCACCTGCAGTCACTGGACACTGGGGGTGTGGGTGTGGCTCCCAATCAACACTGAATGCAAAGGCTTGAGCCACGTGACAGGAAAGAGGTCGCTCTCTGTGCACAGCAGCCTCTTGGCCACCATCCCTCCTGGAAGAACGCTGCAGTCGGCCCCCCAGGGTTCTCTGAACTAACCACCAACGGTCTGGTCATGCTAGCACCGGCCTGGCCCAGGGCCAGCGTTCTCTCAGATGCCCAGTAAGAGATGAGTGGAAATCCAGCCCCACATCCCAGGTGGATGTTGCCTGCCACTTTCTCACCACACCCTGGCCACCTGGGGGGGGACAGCGCTGACGACTCGCCAGGCCCCCACCACCCTTAGTTAATAACTCGCTTGCACGCACCGACTTGAGTCAGGAGCCGCGAGTCCCTGGGTCGGATATTGGGTGCATTCAGTCGTGCAGCGAACGCCTCGATTCTTTTTGGCATTCAGCCCCCATAGAGCACAGTGCAGCGTCTGGGAACAACAGGGAGGCGTCGTCCTTGTTGCTTTCCTCAGACGGCAGCCTTTGAGAAGAGCTCTGCACCTGCACCCTCCCGCCTCGTGGCGCCTGCAAAGGCTTCCAGTCCCCTCGCCCCCCTGCAGCACAGAGCACATCCCTGCAGAAACCTCCGCTCTGCAGGGCGTGTAGACAGCTGTGGAATCAGAGGTCGACCCCCGTGACAGCCACTGACATGTGTGGGTCAGTGCTGAGAAGCCCGAACGTGCGCCTCGGGCACCGGCCCGCCGTGCTGCTCTGTGCACGCTCCATGGCATCTGATAGCGTCAGCCAGCAGCGTGGGCCCTGCTTACAGGGGTGCTAATCAACACAGACGAGCCCATCTCGTCTATCAGTCAGCACGATGCCGGGTGCGGGCAGCACTGGGGAGCAGACTGCCAGGCGGCACGAGTGTCCACCACCAGAGAGGTCCCAGGCCGAGGGCTGGGGGGGCGTTAGATGGGGAGCCCCAAGCTGACTGAGGAGGGCAGACGCACGAACACCTCTAGTTCCGTATAAGCTGCCTTCTCGTCTCCATCCCGAGCTGGCGACACTGAGTCAGGTCTTCCCTGTGCGGCAGCCCCACCGCTACCACCTGAGCGGCTGGCGGCCGCGTGCCAGCTCGGTGGCCACGTGGTCATCGTGGAGGTCCTTCAGGTGCAGCAGCAGCTCCTCCAGGTTCTCCCCCGTCACCGCCGACAGGGCGATGGCCTTCTGGCCCAGGCGAGCCTGCAGCTCAGGCAGACGGGCTCTCGCCTGAGGGAGATCTATCTTATTTGCGACAATTGCATGGGGCCTCGCAGACAGGCCTTCTTCATATTTCTCCAGCTCATATTTCAGATCCTCAACCTGAGTCCATGGCTCTGGCACCGAAAGATCCACCACAAACAAGAGGAAGCAGCAGCGCTCGATGTGCCTGAGGAAGGCACACCCCAGGCCCCTGTTCTGGTGTGCGCCTCGGACGAGGCCCGGGATGTCGGCCACTGCAGAAGACAGAGCAGAGGCGTGGGAGGGGGACCTGGGCTACCTCTCGGCCTGATTTCCTGGGTTCCAAGACCTGCCTTCAAGGAATGTCTTGGAACTGAAGTCATTCAATTTACTGTCCAGTCACTCCTCAGGCCAATGGCCACCCGAGGCTCCCCAGCTTTCAGTTTTGCAAAATGCTTTGCAATATGTGGGGGACAGGCATGATGATGGATCTAATAAGGAATATTTAACATATTCCAGTCTTTCTGGATTCAAAAATGATTCAAAAAGGGGAAAGTGGCTTCCTGTAATCTATTAATAACGTGATTACCAATAGAAATGATTATAGAGTACTTTGTAATATAAAGTGCTATACAAATAACATTACCAGCAGGCTTACTATTTTTAATGGGTACATTATCTTCTGGAAAAAAGTTTTCTTCTCTCAAAATGGTACAGGGAAAGCTTTAAAATCACATGCTGTCTAGACGACTGATGCTGGTGAGTTCCCCATAGATGAAAGAGAGGAATAGAGACCGGGACAAGGAGTAATTTCCTCAGGTTTGAAATTTAAACTCAAATTCCTGAACTATTGGTAACAGATGCCTGGGGAATGGGATGGGAACCAAATCTAACGCCTAATTTTGATAGAAAACTACAATGGCTTAAATTAGGAAAAACAATGCTACATCTGAGACGGGAAGCTACATTTGAGAGTTACATAACTAATGTTCTGCATTACATCATCTAAACCAAACCTTTTGAGAGAATTCTGGAAGTTCTACCTGCTATCTGTTGGTGGTCTTCATAGTGAACAATCCCAATGTGGGGGTTTAAGGTAGTGAACGGGTAGGAAGCCACGGTGGGTTTCGCATTTGAAATAGCCCGGAGAAGAGAGGACTTCCCCGAGTTGGGGAATCCCACCTGGAAGAAAGGACAAGACCCTCTATCACCATCTCAGAGTCTGTAACTGACCAAGACCAGGGGAGAGTTTCAGGATGGGGAATCAATGACAGGTGAGAGCACAGGCTCCTGAGAGTCAACAGGACCCTGATGGGAAAAAGGTGAGCTGCCAAGCTGTCACTCTCCTCTAGGCCTGTGCCATGTTCTACCACCAGGGGCAGATTTTTCTACCATTAGGTGTGTAAAATGCCACCTCCTCCAGCCTGGGGCTTCAGGTGACACCCACCATCCCGGCGTGGGCCACTGTCTTGAGCTCCAGGAAGAGGACTCGCTCCTGCCCAGGCTGCCCGGGGGTACACGTCACGGGGGCGCGGTTATCGTTGGCCAGGAAAAAGCGGTTGCCCTTCCCTCCCGCTCCCCCCAGAGCGGCGATGTACTCATCACCCGGGCGCGACAGGTCAGCCACGACTTCATTCCCCTCCTTCACCAAAGTGCCCAGGGGGACCTGAAAAATAATAAAGCATTTATAGAGCCACAGAGATCACATGAGGAGAGCAGACTGGGCCTAGCGTATTTATCCAATTTTGGAGGGGGGGCATGGGAGAGGAGAGGGGGCACAGCTAAGTTCCCCACTTCACGGAACTCCAAAGGAGCAGAAAAAGGTCCCAACTCTCAAAGGGATTCTATGGGGCTGGTTACACTTCCTGCAAACTGCCTAAGTGGTTTTTTCAAATAGCGTTTCTAAACCATCAGGGCAAACTGAAGCATCCAGAAAATGCTGAGACAATCTGAGAAGATTAAACTCTCCACTCATAGAGGAGATGCCCCAAGAGGGTCAGTACAGAGGGCGGCTCAGGGACCAGAGATGAGAGGAAGAGTGGACCCTGTGGGTTCCCTCTTCTTATTATAGTGTGTGTGTGTGTGTGTGTGTGTGTGTGTGTAAGAGGGTTCCCTCTTCTTATTATAGTGTGTGTGTGTGTGTGTGTGTGTGTGTGTGAGAGGGTTCCCTCTTCTTATTATAGTGTGTGTGTGTGTGTGTGTGTGTGTGTAAGATCAGCCCTGAGCTAATATCCATGCTAATCCTCCTCTTTTTGCTGAGGAAGACCGGCTCTGAGCTAACATCTATTGCCAATCCTCCTCCTTTTTCTCCCCAAAGCCCCAGTAGATAGTTGTATGTCATAGTTGCACATCCTTCTAGTTGCTGTATGTGGGACGCGGCCTCAGCGTGGCCGGACAAGCGGTGCGTCGGTGCGCACCCAGGATCCGAACCCGGGCCGCTAGCAGAGGGTGCACACTTAACCGCTAAGCCACGGGGCCGGCCCTCTCTTCTTAAGATATAATTATTTTGTGACTTTTTGGACAGGTCACCCACGCACTTGGTGTAAAATGAGTACAAAGCCCTGTCCGGGGGTTTGCTTTGTGGAGGACAGCTGTACGTTTCACGCCAAGGAGGCCCCTCTGGACCACACCATGGAACCTGAGGAGCCTGATGCTCTAGAAACGGGAACAGTGCGGGCTCTGCAGCCTCGACTTACCCGGACGTAGAGGAGAGCGCCATTTTGCCCAAAGCAGTTTTTCCTGCCACCGTCTTCTCCGCCAAAACCCTGATACCGCGACAGGACTGACGACAGTGACTTGACTTGCTGGTCAACTAAGGGCAAGAGCAAGCAACTTCACCCTCCCTTGCGTTAAAAACAGAATCATCTGCATATTGTTAGCTTTCTTTTGTTCAGTTTAAGAACGTTAAGAATGCATATGGAAACACGGAATGAAGTTGCAGAAGTTACTAAACTATCAACACGATTTTTTTTTTTTTTTTTGGTGAGGAAGATCAGCCCTGAGCGAACACTGGTGCTAATCCTCCTCTTTTTGCTGAGGAAGACTGGCTCTGAGCTAACATTGATTGCCAATCCTCCTCCTTTTATTTCCCCCAAAGCCCCAGTAGATAGCTGTATGTCATAGTTGTGCATCCTTCTAGTCGCTGTACGTGGGACGCGGCCTCAGCATGGCCGGAGAAGCGGTGCGTCAGTGCGCGCCCGGGATCCAAACCCAGGCTGCCAGCAACGGAGCGCATGCACTTAACCGCTAAGCCACGGGGCTGGCCCCAACGTGATTTTTTAAAAAGCTAAAATCTTATTCTGAAAAATTCAGAATTACCCATCAATTTAAAAATAGCCACTTTATTATGTTGTGAATGTTCACTAAGTTTACCAGTTCACTAAGCATTTGTGCTCAATGTGTGCTGACAGTAATCAACACCCATTCAGCACTTACTGGGATGGTCACCTAACTGTATCCTTGGACATACTGCGCTATGTTAGATTCTCTGATACTCACTATCTTTGTGTTCCTGAAATTTAAAGAAAAAACACTATCAAAGTTGGGTTTTGGTACATGATTTAAACGTGAATATCCACATAATTTAATAAAAATGATGTCCATACATCAATTTTTGAATTCAAACTCCCATTAGGATAAAAAGGTGGAAACTTTCTGCCCCAAAGACATGTGGACACAGCGATGTCCCCCGAGCTCCCCTCAGGGTACATGCCTCTCAGGATGACATGGCCGCCGTTGCCTCCGTCACCACCATCAGGGCCTCCAAACTCCTTCCGGGGCTCGCTGTGGAAGCAGCTCACTCCGTCACCTCCACGTCCCCCTCGGACAAGCACTCGGCGATGGTCCACAAAATGCCTTTTCTGCAGAGAGCACAGCATGTCCCGGGTCATTATTAACCCTGCAGTCCCTTCAAGGACGAAGCAGCCATTGAAATGTACTTTTCTGTCTATGACAGGCTTTAAAATTAGAAGTCAGTGATATTAATATCACGAATCTCTCCTAAAATGCAAAATATAAGAAACAGTTCCCACAAGTCACTACTATTTGTAGGCGAACGTAAATCAACTATGCAGATGTAAGAAGTGGTCAGTGTGGAATATATACTCGACAACAAATTCAACCTAAAAAAAACAAGGGTGGTTTAGACAATACTCCTTAAATAATGCATCCTTCCAGGTTTTATCAAATAGAAACATGTTATTGAAATAAATAACAGGGACCAATAAATAACTTTCCCTTAATACTAGAGAAAGTTCTAGTTCCTTAGGATGCAAGAATGAATGTGAGAGTTAGACTCCATGGTCGATTATCAGATTCCAACCGTGAAGAAAGGACGTTTTCTGCAGCCTGACTGAATAGGGCCCATATATATATATATATATATATTTTTTTTTTTTTTAAATAATTTTATTTATTTATTTTTTCCCCCAGAGCCCCAGTAGATAGTTGTATGGCATAGCTGCACATCCTTCTAGTTGCTGTATGTGGGACGCGGCATCAGCATGGCCGGAGAAACGGTGCGTCAGGCGGCGCCCGGGATCCGAACCCGGGCCGCCAGCAGCGGAGCGCTCGCACTTAACCGCTAAGCCACGGGGCCGGCCCAGGGCTTATATTTTAAATGGAGTGATGCAAATAGAGTCCCTTATCTCAGAGAAGGTTTTTCTCCAGGTGCCTAAGGGAGGTGCAATCTAGCTAAAGAATTAAATCAACTAGGTTAACGTTTCATAAATATTAGCTCCTACTACACGAAGTCCAGCTATCGCTGGGGCTAGGGGGCGGCACTGGGATGCCACCCCGGCCAAGTTGTCCTGAGGAGCCCGCCTGCTTCCGGCACACGTGCGCAGACAGACGTGGCTGTCCATGCAGGCTCTCTGCTGGGGACCACGACATCTGCATTTCCATCCACTACTCCCTAAGCAGATTTTTTTTTTTAAGGAAAGACACAAATATTTTAAGATTCTTTGGCACCACCACATGGAAAAATCATGAATTACTATTTCAAAAACTCAATGTATAATTTCACCAAATGCCAACATAATCAAAATCAACTTGATGGAAAAAAGCACAACTGATGAGCACTGTATGGAAGATAAAACTTAGATTCAATTTTCACATTCTGGGGAAGAGACAAAACCATGTGAAAACTTGAGACATTTGAGTACACACACCGACTGCCAAAGTAATTTTTCCACAGGAATTACTGTTTGCCCGAACAATGTTTATCTGGAGCCCCCATTTGGGAGAAAATGAAGTGCGTCATAAACATGTATTTTTTTGAATTTAATTAAAGATCATTCATATTTTAAATAGAAGGTTTTGGTAAACAGAAAAAAAAAAACTTGTAAGGCTTAAACACCTGTAAAATTAAAGGTCTATTTCCCCCTCCGATGTTTTAAACTAAGAAATGTTCACACATACTTAAGAATGTACGTACTACGTACGTCAGATACACAGGCTAATGGTAAGCAAGCACCCACACACCCCTCCTGGCTGAAGGGAAAGAACATGGTCGACACTTCTGGAGCACCCTGGGCACCGTCCCTGGTTTGTGGCAGTTTTTACGACAGCACAGATTAGGCACACACAGGCCTTCATCTCATGTCCTCATCTTCAAGATGCTACATGTGTCCCCTCAGTAACACAATCAGGATAAACGAAGATGATAATGAGAACTCAAAACAGCGCCCTCTGCCTTCTGAGAGAGAACTGCAGGCAGTTCCTTCAAGTTTACAAGTCTCACCAGTTTCTTCTCAGAGAGCAGTTTCTTTCTGGGGGGTTCCTGATGCTTGGTGCAGTCTGCACAGCCGACAGAGAGCAGCCTGGGAGAAGCATGCTGTGGAAGGAGCCGGCTGGGCCTGAGGACCACTCGTGCGGATGGAGTCCAGCGCCCCATGCCTTCCAACAGCACCCGCAATCTTGCTGAGAAAAGCCTCGAAGGTATCATGGCTCCCTAAAAGTCAAATCGGCAAAATAAGATACCTGGTTTAAACCTGAACATCACACTGAAACTAAAGAAAAGTGCCTGGCACACAGTAGAATCCCGATGTATGTTTTTGAAACAAATAAACGAACTGAGGAATATGACTTTTTTATGTCACTCACCACTTTCGACCCCGAGTTATAAAGGGTCATCTGCCCCTACCAGCCTATTCACTACCTGGGGGCCAGATCTGTGTACACAGGATTTAAGTCATTAAATCTCCCACACACTGGATGGAGTCCTCTATGGAACATCAAATACAGGTGTCCCCGCTATCCGACAGCGGAGCGTCCCTACGAAACCTTTCATAAGTCACAATGGCATAAAGCGAAAACGCTATTTTCGCTTTTTGCCTTTTTTCGTAAAAGCAAAAATCCTCTTTGGATTTCTTTCGGTTAATGAAAACAGGTACTGATACAGGTGTTTCATAAAAGCGAAGTGGCATAAAGCAACCTTTCAAAAAGTGGAGGATCCTTGTATCTGCTAAATGAAAATATTAAAAAGGAAATGAGCCTCAAATCAAAATTACTTAAAAGTGAAATGCCCATTTATTCACATGCTATTTTGTTATCTTGTGCAGTTTAAAATGGTCAAGCTGCAATCCAGTGAGAATATTAAATATGGAGTGCACTCAGACTCTGGACACAACCTGCCACCTCTGCCCCTTGTCCCCAGTGCCACCCAGGAAATTTCACCCATGTGTGCTGCCTAAGTCTGCTCATCTGTAAATGGACAGGGCTGCGAGGGTGGGGAGAGTTAATTCACGCGACCGCACAACAGCAGTCCATGTGCGGACTCAGTGTGAGCTACTTTTCACTAATTAAGAGCCGTTTAGGCCATTACTCGTTCATCAAACAGCTTGCGACTGTCCCGCATCTTGCAGGTGCAGAGGGTGAACGTGAGGGAGCCTCGGACCCTGCCCTCTAGGAGATGACAGCCCCTGCCTTCACTGTGAGACTGAACAGCCACCCACTCCCAGATGTCCCTACTCTGTGGTCACACATGTGCACCTAAAAGGAAACGATTAAGGTTTTCCTCCCATTTTTAAGTTTTTTATATATATATAGAAGGGGATATAAATATACACATACTGTTTAAAAAACAGTTATAAAGACAGCACGCGCCGAACAGGGCAGGTGAGGAAACGGAATCTGCCTTTTCCTTACAAGTCCCTCCCGTGTGCCTCCCATCCACACCCCTCACTCCTCCGGCAGAGGCAACACTTTCTTTGTGGGAGGTTTTCTCTTAGCAAGGCCCTGAAAAGTTTTGCTTTTCATTTGGAAACAATCACAAACTCGCAGCAAAGCTGGAGCACAGCATAAAGAACTTCTGCTTCCTGAATCACTTGAGGGTAGGTTGCCGACCTGACCCCACACCCGGAACACTCCAGTGTGCTCCCTGTGGACAGGGCATCCCCTACAGAACCAGGGGTGACCTCCAAAACCGGGCCACCCACCGCGCCGCACCACCACCACGCTCACACCCTCCCAAGTTTGGCCAGCTGTCTGACAGCGTCTTCCCCAGCAAAAGGGCCCAGTTCAGAATCACGTGCTGCGTTCCGCTGTCGTGTCTCTCCAGCCTCCTCAGGCCCGGAACGTCCCTCAGCCTCTCCTTGACTCTCATGCCCTTGACCCTTGGAAGGTCACAGCCCAGGTGTTCTGCTGCACGTCCTCGTTTTCTGGGACGTGACGTCCCCTCGTCATGAGACGTGGGCGATGCGTCTTTGGCAGGAATCTCACACAAGTCCCGTGGCCACACTCGCCCCTCCCTCGGAGGCTGGGTTTCCTTGTCCTTACTGACTGCACTCCAAGCTCCAGCCCGGTGGTCCCCGCCTGCCCCACCGTCAGGGCGCTCCTTCCCCGGTGTGGTCAGTGAGGACCTCGGGGGAGATGCTCTGAAACTGCGCACATCCTGTTCCTCGTAAACTTTCCATTTGTTCATTTCTATGGCCTCATGGCTTCCTATTCTATTCAATGAGCTACACTCTGCTACTATCACTTATTTTGATGCTCAAGTAGTCTCCAGTTTGGTCAGTGGAAGCCCATCGAGCTGGCTTCACTGTCCTGTTGACCTGTGCCCATCAATCTTTGAGCACTTCCCTGTTTCCTGGCACAAAATGTTCCAGGCTCACCCAGTACTTTCTCTGGCTGGCCCTGAAATCAGCCTTTACTCCAAGAGCGCTGGTTCCTTTCAGCAGAAAATGGTATTAGAAGCCCATCTGCATGCTGGGCGTGCTCAGGGCTACTGGGGTGCTGCTGCTCACAGATTCCCTCAGTGGACAGGGCTGGGGAACAGACGACACCTCTGTAGTCACTGCTACACCCATCCACCCCTAGTTACAGAGCAGCGTCTGCTCTGAGTTCACCCCTACATGTCCAACTTCAATTCTACACCATGAGGTTCAGTCTAATTCTCTTCCTGTCTTTGCAACTCCATTCTCTGACTGTCAGAATCCTGCTTCCATTATCCTCAATATGTTTATCTGTTTATTTGCTCAACTCCCACAGTAACCAAATCCTCACCTCCTCCACACAGGTGCTCTCCCCTCCCCACATGGGGCTGCCCCACCATGGGGACACCCTCCACTTGTATCTTACCATAAATGTATTTTTTTAAATAAACCTTTATTTTGGAACGATTTTAGATTTACAGAAAAGGTGAAAGATATTCCCATATACCTTTTACCCAGTTTCCCCTAATATTAGCATTTTATGTGACTGAGGTACATTTGTCAAAACTAAGAAACCAACATTGGTGCGTTATTATTAATTAAACTCCGGATGGCATTCGGATTTCACCAGTTTTCCCACGAATATTCTTTTCTGTTCCAGGATCTCACACTGCATTAAGCCATCTTGGAACAGTATTTTTAAAGTGCTGAAAGAAAAGAACCGTCTGCCCAGCATTACACACCCAGTGAAAATATCCTTCAGGAAGGAAGGCAAAATAAGACATGCTCGGATGGTGGAAAACGAGGAGTCTTTGTCACCAATATACCTGCTCTAGAAGAAATGCTCAAAAATGTTCTTCAGGTTGAAGGAAAATGATACCAGATGAAACCCAGATCTTTAGGAAGGAAGAGAGAGCAACAGAAATGGTAAATTTTTATAAAAGACTATTTTTTTTCCTCGTAAGAGTTTTTAAATACATATGACAGTAGGAAGAAAAACTCACTTATAACATTGTCCGGCGGGTTTCCATGTGTGCAGACTTAACCACACATGAAAACGTAACAAGCAGACAGGGAGGGGATTAAAGGGACCAGCATGATCCCAAGGTTTCTACATCTCTGTGAAGTGGCACATCTTAACTCTAAGCCGACTGTGAAAGGTTTGGTACACGTACTGTAACCTCTAGAGCAACTGCTAACACATCACACAGAGACACAGCCAAACAGCTAACAAGTAGCTGAAATGGAATGCTAAAAACTGTTCCAACAATTCAAAAGAAAAGGGGAAACAGAACAAACAAGACAGACGAACAGAAAACCAACAATAAAATGGTGTGCCTAAACCTAACTGTACATGTTAACTCAGATAAAACACACTTCCAGAAAAAGGGCACTACCTAAGAGGAAGAAAGACATTTCATAATGACAAAAGGAATAGTTCATCAGGAAGATCTAACAATTAAAAATGTGCATGAGCCTAAAAGAGCTTCAAAATACATAAAGCAAAATTTGACAGAATTAAAGGGAGAAACAGACCATTCCACAACGATGGAAGCACATTTTAATACCACTCTCTCAGGAAGCGATAAAACAAGTACCTGAAAAACAAAACAGTCAAAAACAGTAAAGACAGGGGCTGGCCTGGTGGCACAGCCGTTGAGTTGGCGCATTCTGCTTTGGTGGCCTGGGGTTTGCAGGTTCGGATCCTGGGTGCGGACCTACTCATGGCTCATCAAGCCATGCTGAGGCAGTGTCCCACAGAGAAGAACTAGAAGGACCTACAACTACATACTGGGGGCTTTGGGGAGAAAAAAGAAAAAAAGAGGAACATTGGCAACAGATGTTAGCTCAGGGACAATCTTCCTCAAAAACACCCCAAAAAAACAGTAAAGACGTAGAAAACCTGGATAATACTATCAACACTGGTCTATTGACAACTATAGAACAGTACATAACAACTGTAGCATGTACATTACTGTCAAGCGCACGTGGAACATTCACTGAGATAGACAACATCATGAGTCATAAAGAAGTCTCAAGAAACTTAAAAGGAAAGAACTCAAATAGAGTGTATTCTCTAACCACAATAGAATTGAAGTCAATAAATATAAAATATCTAGGACAACCCCAAATATCCGGAAATGAAACAACACTCTTCTAAGTAATCCAACAGGTAAAAGAAGAGATCAAAAGAGAAATTAGAAAATATTTTGAACTGAATGATAATGAAAGTACAACATACCGAAATGTATGGGATGCAGCCAAAGTGCTGCAGAGGAGGGACCACAGAGCTCCAAAGGTTGCTGTCAGTAAAGAAGAAAGACCTAAGATCAGTGATAAGGCTCCAAATCAAGAAACCAGAAAAGCAAAGTATATGGAAGACAAGAAATAAGAAAGAGCAGAAATAAATGAAATAGAAAACCGACAGACAATGGAAAAAAATACCACAGCCAAAAAACTGGCCCATTGAAAAGATAAACAGAATTGATAACCCTCTAGTTAGACTGATCAAGAAAATAAGAACACGAATCACCCATGTCAGGAATTTAAAAAGGTTATCAATAAAATCCTACAGACATTAAAAGGGTAAAAGAACACCATGAACAACTTTTTGCCAAAAAATTCAACTTCTGTGAAATGTACAAATTTCTCGAAAATGCAACTTACCAAATAAACACAAGAAGAAACAGAAAATCCAAATAGCCCTGTATCTACTAAAGAAATTGAATTTGTTATAAAAGAACATTCCCCAAAAGACAAGTGCAGACTCAGACTGTTTTACTGGTAAATTCTATCAAACAATCAAGGAAGAAATAACAGCAACCTTACACAAACTTTTTCCGAAAACAGAAGTGAGATCACTACTCAGCTCATATTATGTATGAGGCCAGCAAAACCTGAGTTCCAAATCCTGACATTACAAAAACAGAAAATTACAGCCCAACATGCCTCATGAATAGAGATGCAAAGAATCCTTAACAAAATAATGTCCAGTCGAGTCCAGCAGTACAGAAAGGATCACAAAGCACGACCCAGTAGGATGACCCCTGGAACACAAGGCCTCCTAGGCAGTCAGAACCCCACCCACCCCCTTATACTGGCAGTCACACACATCTGACAAAAGCCAACACCCATTCATGGTTAGGAAAATGAAATGTCACACAAACTAGGAATGGAAGGGAACATCTTCAAACCGAGAAAGGGCATCTACAAAAGGCCTACGCTCCATCACACTGACTGGAGAAAGACTGACTGTCACCCCCGGGATGAAGAAAAAAGCAAGGATGTCCACGTTCACTACCTCTATGCACCACTGTCTTTTAGACACTGCAATAAAGGAGTAAAAAAAAAAAAAAAAAAAGGAAGAAGTAAAACAGCAAAAGATACGATTGTTTCCATAGAAAAATCCCAGGGAAATCCATAAAACGATGATTAAATTAATAGATGAACAGAGCAAGGTTGTAGGTTTCAAGGTCCATATACAAAAGTCAGTTGTATTCTTATATACTAGAAGCAAACAACTGGAAAATGAAAGTAAGAAAACAATCCCATTTATAGTAACACCAATTACAAAAGTACATTTTTTTGTCCAGTGGGTTTCCTAGAAGTACGTTTAACAATAAACATTTAAGACCTCTACCTCACTCCTGGCAAGATACTGTTCTAAGTATTTTTCAAGGATTCACTCAGTCCTCATAACAACTCCTTCAAGAAAGTACTTTTATTACCCCCATTTTCCAGATGAGGAAACTGAGGCAAAAAGAGGTGAAGTGACACACGCAAGGTCACAGAGCTTTTAGATGGGAGAGGTAGGCATGGAGTGTGAAAACAGGTTGTTAGAGGGAAAAAGCCAACTCAGCAATCATCAATAGAAGCACACCCACGGCTAAGCCCACTGGAAAGTGATGCCATCCACCCTGGCTGTGATGGGAACCGGGCTTCCTGGCATTCGGGACACAAAACCTGCAGAAGATCAAGTGCAGAGAAGGTGATCAATTACAAAGCCAATCAGAGACCTGAACTCTGAATCTTGCCTAATTTGGAGGACTTCTTCCTTTGCACCGTTTCAAATTCTGTTTGGAAAGATCAGCAGAAGACATACCTGAGTGACGTGGCTCTCGCTTGCCAGGCAAACAAATTCAACTGTTTCACACTGCTATTTGGTCTTTATTCTCCTTCCCATGCTCTACCTGCGCTGTGCAAAATGGTAACCACTAGCCACATGTGGTTATTAAGTAAAACTTAAGTTACTAAATGATATAATACATATATAATATATAATTATATAATATCAACTTAAATCATTAAAACTTTTTAAAATGTAAAAATTCAGTTCCTCAGTCACACAAGCCACATTTCAAGTGCTCATAGCTACAAGTGGCCAGTGGGTACCATATTGGACAGCACAGATTAGAACATTTTCATCATTACAGAAAGTTCTGTTTCATGGCTCTGGTCTACACTGTGCAGTAGGAACTCAGAAAAGTGAACTCAAATTCCTCGTAGGAGCATCTGTTCACCGGGCCCAGCAGAGTACAAAAGATGAGACAGCGGAGAACACCCAGGGTCCAGAGTCAGAAAGACTTTATGATTAAACGCCGGGGCTTTAAAAATGCCGGAAAGGCGCTCACTACATGGCAAGGGCTCCACTCCAGACAATGTTACTTTGTTCTACAAAGTGTTAAGCTCCTGGAGGCTCCACAGATGTTATTTGCCAGGAACCTCTTCTAAACTTTGTGAAAGACAACATGAGCGGAGCCCTATTAAAACAGAGCAGCCATTTCAGAGGAATTGCCTCACATGTCTTGTTTTATCTTCCAAACTGGACCAAACCACCAACGTCCCAAGAAGCCAGTAAAGACTAGAACACCCTGTTTGTAAGACCGATGAAACTGGACTTTGCCGATGACCTGATCGATAACCCATCAATGGAGTCCAAGTCTAGCCTTCTGCCTGATGACCGCATCTCCAGGCAACCTATGAAGTACAAACCCAGCCTGAGCTCATCCAGCACCAGTGAACTCTTCCTTAATACAACTCACCTCGTCTTCCTTTCTTTTTCCCATGAAAACACTGAGCCCCTCTCCTGTAATCAGGACACTATTTGGGTTTCTACCTGAATTTGCAAGTCTTTGATCCGGAAATAAACGCCTCTCTGCCTCTCATTTTGGCTCTTTATTTTTAGGTTAACAACCTCCTACAGAAAATTTTAAATGTATTCCTTACAACAACGCTATGAGGGGGTAATGCTGCATGCTGGATATCTTCCGTTTGCTTTTCTAGACCCACTTTCCATCCTGCTGTTTCAAGAGCCTGCCCTGGGTGATTACCCTTGGCTACCCTGCCCTCCCGCAGAGATGGAGAGAGGAACAGGAGGGCGGGATATGGACTTCCCTGCTCCTCTCTGTTTCCTGGACTGAAGGTCACACCTCCAGTCAAGGAACCCCTGTCTACACTGCCCCCTCCCCTTACCCTTTGGGTCTAGGGCTAGAAGCAACTCCACTGTCACTAGCTCCAGGTTAAAGCACGGACTCTGGTTTCCCCACACGCTCCCTTTGCACAGTGCCTTTATAAACCCTCCTTAAATCAGCTCTTGCTACAGTGCCCCCTGATTCCTGACCCTTACTTTTTTATGCCCATTTTAAAGCAGTGGAGGCTGAGGCTCAGAGAGGTTAACAAGTCCCTTGCCCAAAGTCAGTGTCCTCCGGCCTCTGGCACACGGCTGCACCAGTGTTTACAGCAGGACCTTCAAACTGAGGTCTGCACACACCACGACCGTCCAGGGAAGCGAGGCAAAGGTAATTTTCAAGGAATCGATCTTCTGCTCCTTAACTATTAATATGCTCTCTTTGCTAAAACTTATCTGCCTGAGAGCGAACTTGCATTTAAAAGACTTTTCTCTTTTCCTCTTCCTCTTGTCCGAAGGGCCCTCTCCTTCGCGAAAGACACTCTAGCGACCAGGTCTAAAGAACACGCCTGCCTCGTCACCCACGGACCTATGTGGACAAGGTCCCTGGTGTCCGCGCCCACGAAAACCTACACCAGGAGCGGACTGACAACAAGCCGGTCTCACTCGGCAAATCCAACCGCGGACAAGCGACCTGGCCGGACAACAGCAGCTCTGAGAGCTGCGTTCACAACGAACTCCACCTGTGCGCGGTGGGGTGGTGATCAGAGCGCGCACACGCCGCTGCTCTGTGCACGTGTCCACACTAACAATCGCGAAGACACCCCCGAGGCAGCGCCCAGCACGGGGCGCGGGCACTGTGCCCACGCCGCCCGCCGCAGGGCTCCGGGGGCTCCGCGGGCGCACGACGCCACCGCGCGGGTCGCGCCGAGGCCCCAGAGCAGCGCCCGGCGGAGCCCCGGGAGGACGCGGGCACCCCCTCCTCCAGGCACCCCCGCCCCTCCGGGGAACACAACGCCCGTCCCCGGTCCCTCCAGGCCGCCGGCGCCGCTCCCGGACTCACCCTCTCGGAAGGGCACATCACTTCCGGGGTCGCGGGGGAGTACTTCCGATGTCGGCTCCGCCCCCGGCCCCTGACCTCGCCGCCCAGGTCGGCCCCGGCCGCGCCTGCGCAGGGCCTGCCCAGCGCGCATGTGCGGAAGGTGTCCCGGGTCCGCGCCGCGGGCTGACAGCCGCCAAGCGGGTCCCCGGGCGGGCGCGCGCCTTCCCCGGAGCGAGGGACGAGGGGGCCACGGCGCCTCGGGGGCGCGGTGGCCGGGGCTGAGGCCGACACGGAGAGCGACAGGGCGTGGGGCCGGGCGATGGGCGGCGGGTCCGCTCCAGCCTGCGTCCACCGCCTGCGGACTCGGGCTCGGCCAGCCCTCCTCCTGCCTCCCCGCGGGTCCGGTCTGCGCCCGAGGGAGTCCGCGTGGGACAGGGGACGGTGTCCTGCCACTGTCAGTCCTCACAGGACAGCCCCCGCAAAGCCCCTCACGGCCAGCTGGACTCCGCCCAGGAGTCAGGCTCCCTGGAAAGGTGACTCCATGGCGACTGCACGACAGCCAGCACGGTCCGAGCACAAATCAGGTTGTATCTCATTCACTTCACAAAAACTCTCTTTTGGGGATGATTTTTGAAGAACCAGTTTATTAACAGATTACACCAAAAGCATAAACAATTTAGACACCAAACTGACTTAAAAAAAAATGAACCGATGAAGATGTTTTTCAAAAAATGTACCTGTGCTCACAAATAAGACAAATTTGACCTTTTCAATAAGTAGAAATGAAGTATGGCTAAAAAATTTTAAACGGAAACAGAAACAGTCTTCCTCTTTGTGCAACTTTGAATGGATGCCCGATATTCAAACCTATGTATATAAAAACTCTGACAAAATCAGAGGCTCACTTAGGCTCCAACTATATGAGCATATTAAGGCTTCCCTTGAGGTCCCGGAGACCTTGTCCACCTTAATGCTGTTTGTAATGACTCTCAGCCTGAGTGCTAAGTACTTGTTAATAGCTGAGGCCACAGATATGTTGGTTCAACAACAAACCCTAATGGGTGATGAGCTTTTGCATACCAATATGAACTTGTCAGCACTTCTGAAAATTGTGGTCATCATTTTTCAAACTCACGACCTGCTGGGTGTCAGGGACGACAGGAAGAAGGATAAGCGTCTATTTCCAAGTCTTCCTTTGCATCTTCACTGGCCTTCTGTAGAAGTAGTCATAAAAAAACAAAGCACCACCCACCACACTGCACAAACAATTCGTTTTCGCCGAAGCTTTTGCAAACATTCATATTACAGAAGAGCAGATATAATACAGTTAGAAAGAACGGCTGGCATCGCTCCTTCCCCACAGTATTACATAAAATGGACAACATTAAATAGACATTGTTATTAATCATTAAATATATGAACACCCAAAATCATGTATAAATTACGAAATAAATGTACAAACTATTTCACAAAGTGCTTTTTAAAATATATACACAACATTCAAGAAATTCTTAATGTAAGACATTTCAGATTGAAGTTTCAGGATAAGTTTTTTAAGTGACCTTTTCTTTCAAAAAGTTTAATATAGCACTTAAAAAAAAAACACATAAAAGGCATATTCCCAGATTGGCAAGGAATAAAAATAAACTATTTTCACAGTTATCTAAAATGTTTAACATTTTCAATGGGAAATCTTAGTCCCTGAATGAGTTTGCAAATTAGTTTTATGGAAAATTGTCAGGAAAGAACAGAACAAAATCAAGGGAGACGACTCCCTAGATGAAATTGCTAATGTGTGTCATTTAGCAATTAACAATTCTCATTTCAGTAATTTAATATAGATATGTATTTTTAAGCCTTTACCAGTGTTAAGGGTTTTTAAAACCCATATACCTACAAAATAAATGCTTTTACCCAATGTGTGTGTGATTCTGTCTCCACAGAAGAGGGGAGAATGTCCTAGAACAGGACTGTATTCGACTGGGGAAGTCCTTTAACCTGAGCTTCGGTTCTGCATCTGTAAAATGGGAACAGTAACCGCCTCCATGTTTCCCAGGGAGGACTGTAAGGATTCATTCAAGCAAAAGAAAATGTAAAAATGCCCTGTAAACTGTAAAGCATTCAACTCCAGATAAAGAACTACTTTTATAAATTTTTAAAACATAAAACTTAAAAACATCATCTTCATTAGACCTGATATATCAAGAATTGGATATTTTTGTATTATCTGGTTGGTCTTGGAAATATGTTGGCATTTATCCAAAGATGTTTTTAAAGGACTCGTAGTAAATATGGATATTATCCAAGTAAAGGTTCATAAAATGTCCATATTACTTATTAGTGAAATGTAGGATTTTTCCTTTGACCATACTTTTCCAAGTGAGCTATCTTTAATGTCTGCACAGAATTTAAATGGGATTTAATGTCCTAGGAATGTAAAAAATTACTCAAATTTCTCTATATAAATAAACCTTTCTTTTTCATTAGGAAGAACACGGTAAAGTTAGTAGGGTTCTTTTCAAAAATGAGATGTGAGTTTCAGATGTCCCTAAAAGAAAAGGAACACTTGCTTGGAGATCTGAACAAGTAGGTCCTGGAAGAAATAATATAAACAACTTGCCAACTGTTTGGAAAATTTGGTATCAATATTTTAAATTATAAATTTAGAATTGGGCATATTAAATATTCAAATCCCAGAAATGACTGTCAGATATACAAGGGCCAAAGTAATTTCAGAGAACTACCCTCTGTTTCAGTGATACCACTCTCCCTGGGTTAGGCTCATCAGAGGTTGCCTTCTTGGATTCATATTTATTTGGAATATAGTCACTGATCCCTCTTTACTTTTTAATACAAAATCACATAACTTTTGGATAAACAGAATTGGTGAGCAACACAGGTAACAAGCAAGCTCTGGAAATGACCATTTACAGCCTTTCCCAATGAAGCATATTTATCCTTTCCAGTGTGTAACAAATTGACCCAAAACATGGAAGATGCCTCCCGCACTCGCATCGAGGCACAAGAAGAGGCTGCCGTCCAGGGATTGTATGCATGTGTCCAGCTGTGATGTAGCCAGTGAAAGATAAGTTTACAACCCACATTACAACTGCATGAGGAGAGTTAGACCTAAGGTCTGTTTATATGAATACGTGGACTATAGCATCTTGTAGACATGTCCCATCACTGGGCACAGAACACTCTGATGACAAAAGGATCCCTAAAGTTGGCTAGAAACATCAAGAAGGGGGACAAAAAAGGGACAACCTTTCCATTGTATGGACATACAATACTATACACAGCACCAAATATGTCACACCATCAAAGCACTGTCTCTCGCCAGCGGTGCATGCTCAGCGTCATACCCAGCATGAAATGTGCACGCTTCACGTGCAGACGCTGTGTGGGGCGAGGGGCAACCAACAGGTCACAGTCCATCAGAACTGCCACCAGCCCATCCATCCCCAGACGGATATGCCACCACAAGGCTCCAACGAGAACCTTGTCCCTTACTGCTGGTAATTTCCATACTGGCCCTGCAAGAGACCAAAACACAGATTACACCTCTACAGTCATGAGTAAAGGGGTCCACACCCAAAGGTAAGACAGACCTCCACTCCCAGCCAACATGCAGGATAAGAAATGGAAGGAGGGATAAAAAGCAAGCCAGCAAGCAGCCTTCTGCCCAGATCTACACAGCAGGGAGGTCACTGGCTTTCTGAAAGCCATCTGTCCAAGCCTGTGGCCAATGATGTACATCAGAGGGTCAGCAAGGCCCGCTACAAGCTCCCCCTGCTCCTCCCATCAGTCCCCTCCTCCCATGGGTGACTGGCTGACAACACGGCTAGATGCAAACTCGGGCTAAGGGCTTTGCATCACTGCCCACGTCGGGGATGATGAGGTAATAAACCGTAGTCAATACGAAATCTGAAGAAGAGAGAATTAGAAAACGTGTCTAGCCAGGCCTCAGGATGGGAGGGCTCCCTGGCCACTGAGTTGATTATCTGACCCTGATGAAGAGTCACCCAGCCAGCTGTGTCTGACCAAGGTGAGCACGTACGTACAGGTAATTTTTAAAAACTTTACAGGCTCAGAGAATTGGAAGCCCATTAGCTCATCTCGTTGTTCCTCATGACCGTTAAAGAAACCTTCATTATGTTTTAACAGACACGGCGGGTCAGCGCATCTGGAAACATCCAGAAAGCTTGCCTGCTCATAGCCGTAAGGCCGCTGCTGCTGGGCGGATGGGCCCGTCTGAGATGCTCTGTAGCTCCCGTACTGCTGGCCTTGTCCTTGCTGGTAGCTGGAGTACTGGGAAGGGGCTCCCTGGGCAGGCCCTGAGGACACACACCAGGCACCGTGAGACCAACCCAGCGCGCCCAGGCCTCTGAAGTCTCCGAAACACCAGCATCTGTTCCTCCTTAACACGAAATCCATACAGCGAAAGCGCTCAACCGAGCTCCAGGAGCCGACTGCCGCCCTCCAGTCCTGTGTGGCCTTTGGCCCGTGCCCCCACCCCCACCGGGCAGGGGCCTGGGGCCGCCCTCCAGCACCCATGCACCTGCTTCCTGGAAGCAGTTTGCGTCAGTTATGGTGGGCACTGTCAACACGTGAGTTGAACATCGCAGCAACTGGTGCAAACTGCAACGCCAGAGAGACAGTGGTCGTTCCTATGAAAACAAAGTGGGAGCCTTGGGAAAGAATTGCTGAAAGCCGAGTAACTTTTCAAAAAAATGCTAATTCATTAGTCACGGTTGTAAAAGGTTGAACAAAAATCTGGTGCCCACCTGGCACCTTTTTTGAAAGCTTCCCAGGTGGTTCTGAGGTGCAGAAGGCGGAGACCCACCGGCCTAGACTAGCCTCCTCAGAGGTGGAAGCTGGAGGGGGAGCTGCGCGGGGCGTGTGGTTTGTGGAAGGACGGAGCCTGGCTCTGGCTGGGGAGTGAACGCAGGCTTGTGTTTAAGTTAAACTGAGATGTTCTGGGCACAGATGGATGGATGTTTCACGACTACTCACTGAACTCACTCTTTGGATGATCTAATCACCTGTTCATTCGGGTCATGTCAGGTAGGATGGCTTTCTCTGGGTATTTTAAATGCTAACAGTTTGTGAGGCCGTCACAGGAGGGCAGCATCAGGAGTCGCCGTCTTGTGACAGCAGCGCCATGGAAAACACCCCAGATTCTGGGGAGCGCAGCCCAGGTGCATCTTGGGGGTGGGTTAGGACTCAGGGAGAGTCGCCTGTGGCCTTGGCAGACACAACCCGCAGGCAAGGGGCTGGGGCTGCGCTGTTTCAACCTGCCCAGGGGGGGCGAGGCCCCCAGAGGACTGCTAGATTAGAGGGTTACGATCCTGGCGGAACCTTCTGCTCTGTGCGGCAGCCTGACCTCAGTGAGACTGAATCTGCAGTCAGCTCATCTCTAGTGGACGGGATTTCTCGCTTTGTTGCTACCGCAGCTCACAAAGCTCCCTCTGCCCACTTTTCTGTCTGAGGGCCCCGAGAGCATGCTCGCTGACAGGATCCCCCCGCTGGGTCTGTAGCAGACCCGCTGGCCCCTTCACTTCAGCGAATCCTTACAGGGCGAACAAAAGCCAATGGATGGGCGAGTGCTGCTGGACGCTACTGCTAGACTGACCCACACGTGGACTGCCTCAGGTGAAAGGAAAGTGCAATTGGGCTCAGAAAATACCTACCCGCACTCGGATCTTGGTTTCTAATACCACTCACTCTCCAATAAAAGGAACCAGGGCTCCCGGGAGAAACGGCTGCTTCTAGGGCTGGGGCAGGGCAAATACTCCAGTCCCAGAAAATAAGGAAACGCTCAAAAACAAAAGGACAGGTGCATGTCATAGGGACACAGGGGCCAACCGAAAGAGCTCCCAAGAGGCAAAGCTGGGACAATTTGAAAACAAAGTAAAGAAGCACTGGATTACAATGCAACGTGAAAATTAACACGCGTGAGTATACACTACTATAAGTGAATGATTTATAATAACGAAGTAAATGAGGGAGAAGAGACAAATCTTCCTTACAGAAGAATTCCCATCTATGTAGATTCCCCTCCTCCCCCGAGTGTGGGCTGGACTCAGTGACTCCCTTACAGAGATCAGAGAAGGGGGAAGGTGGGACTCGACACTGGGGAGACCTGGCAGACAACCCTTGACCAAGTGGCCAAAGTCAACACCAGAGACGAATCATGTGACATGAGGTGATGAGAGGGCACTTTACTCCGTGGTCTTCTTTCCAAAACTCATTAGTGTCATCCTGAGAAGGACATGGGACAAACCCAACCTGAGGGATGTTCTACAAAGTACCTGCCCAGTCCTCCTCGCAATTGTCAAGGTCAAGAAAGACAAGGATTTCCGAGAAGCTGTCACAGCCCAGGGGAGCCTAAGGAGATGTGAGACCAAACGTCATGTGGGATCTCAGACCGGTCCGGGAACAGGAAAGGACATGCAGGGAACAAAAACTGGTGAGATCTGAATAAACTGAGTTCAGTCTGCAGCAGTGTACAATGTTGGTTTCTTATGTGACAATTGTCCCACAGTGACGGATGAGGTTAACAACAGGGAATGCTGTACTAAACTCCCAGCTTTTCCAGAAATCTAAAACTATTTCAAAATAAAAAGTGCGTTATAGTGCCACACAACAGCGTTACTGTGTGTGGGGTCTGCACAGGCGCCCCCCCTTACCGTAGCCTTGCTGCTGCCCGGGGTAGCTCTGCTGGTTGGGGTACTGCTGCTGGGAGTAGGTCTGCTGCTGGGCCGCGCCCTGCTGGTACCCCGCCTGCTGCTGGCTGTACTGGGAATTTCCTGCAGAGGAAGGAGACACAAGCTCATTTCCAGAGCGAAGGGCAGCACGTCTGTCACACAGGACGTGGGTAACGTTGGGATCCTTGACTGAGTCATTGCTTCTGTACCTTTCCTTTTTCACAATTCAAGTATTTTGTATACTTTCTCTTATTTTATAAAAATACAAATATACAACCAGAATGAAACAGTTAATACAATTAAGACAAAGACTAACACCAGTGTTCTAAGTTGAACTTGTCCCCCAAATAGATATGTTGAAGTCCTAACCCCAAGCACCTGTGCATGCGGCCTTATTCGGAAACAAGGTCTCTGCAGACATCATTAGTTAAGAGGAGGTCGTACTGGATCAGGGTGGGCCCTAGTCCAATGACTGGTGCACTTATAAGAAGACAGAAATTTGGACACAGACACAGGGAGGCCGGGTGACGACAGAGACACAGATTGGAGTGAGGTGTCTATAAGCCAAGGACACCAAGGGTTGCGGGAGCCACCAGAAGCTGGGGGAGAGGCCTGGGAGTGATCCTCCCTTAGAGCCCCAGAAGGAACCGACCCTGCTGACCTTTGATTTTGGACCTCTGGCCCCCAGAACTGACAAAATGAGTCTCTGTTGTTCCACGCCTCCCAGTCGGTGGCTCTTGTTATGACAGCCCTGGGAGAGCAACATAGCCGCTGAGCGCCAAAGGCAGTGACTCCGAAGTACGCGCATTCAAGCGGCTGGACATCTGTGGCTTCGGTAGTGAAGGAAAAGAACAAAGTACAAGAACATGCACAGACAGCTGCAAACGCTTCACTGAAAGCTGAGGCCAACAGGCACAGAGGAAATGGAGAAATTCCTAACGTTTTGGACTGAGAATCGGTACAGATTCATCACACTTCTGTCTGTTTTTACACACACACACAACTCTTGGGGGTTTACTCCTACAAGGTTATTTCAGGGATACTCTAATAGGTCAATCACCAGGAAATATCTTCTCACGAATAAGGAAACACTCAGCTGCGACGTCTAGAACGTTACGACGAGTCCCAAGCAGGTTACACAAAGTATCTCGCTCGCTTCCTCAACGCCTAGAGGCACTGCCACACCCCCATTTACAGAGGGGGAGACCGAGGCGCACCGCCAGGAAGTGTGGGAGTCAGGATTCAAACCCAGGGAGCCGGTGGCCCTGGAGCTGGGCAGAGGGCCTCCAGGCTGGGGAGATGAGACGTGGAGCAAGGCACTCGAGTCCTGTCAGTGACGTGCATGGAGACACTGAGGTGATGACGGGGGAGGCCACGGGCTCCGAGAGCAACAGCTACCAGGACCCTCCTCGCACTCAGATCAGAGCTCCTAAGAGACAGGTCACTCTAAGATCATGTCTTCCCACAGTTCAAAGGGAGCCCAGAAGTTTCGGGATGACTTCATTTTATTGGCAAACGTGCAAGCCAGGGTTCGTGGTTCCAGTTCAGACCCGTAATGGGTTTTTCCTTTGACTTTATGAAACTAGTACCACAAAGCATTTAAAAAAAAAGGCAGATATTTACCTACCTGTTGTTGTTTATCTATATCGTGGTAAATTCCAAGAGACATTTTACATTCACTTTATTTTTTTCAGAGAAAATGCCTTAATTCTTATTTTCAAAAATCTAACTCGCCAGCACCCATGCTAAAAGCCCCATTTTGGAAGAAAGCATACGGTAAGAAAAACAATTTAGGAGAGAAATAAGTGTATTACCAAATAACTACCAGGAGTTAAGAGGGGGTGTTAACCATTTAGAAATCTTCCTACAAAGTCTTCCTCACGTAGGTTCCAGGGGATATGCCACTTTAGCTTCAGCGTGGACGTTAAATTCCATTCACGGTTTCAAAACACCTTTATAAAAAGACCAATTTCAGTCTACTTTCATTGTGTTCCTTTGAATAGGGCTTTGCTCTTCAAACAAAGTGCACGGCCTTTAATTTGCAATTGTTGGGTCCTGACTCTGCACAAGACTTGAAGCTCCAGCCGGAGGAAGAGGAGCTGGAGGGCCGATGGGGCCCAGGAGCGTTTATTCCTCTGCAGCACCGGACAGCAGGTGAACGGCTCGGCCCCAAAAGGAGAACTGTGGTTTTGTGTTTACCAAAACATGTCCCGGAAATAAGAAAGCAGAGGCACAACAATCAGAGGCCAGATTATGAGAACTGGCATCCGGAGAATCCAATTTCTACTTTATTTTTCTGGTTGTAAATAACCTTCCTTTTCCAGGAGCTGTAAAACGTAATTATTTAAAAATTAGATCCTGGTAACATTTTTTAAAATAACAGCTTTCCTGAGAGCTAGTTCACACTGGAAAGGCTTAAAGCCCCGCTTTGGAAAGTCAGTTTGCAGATACCAAGAACGAGGCAGGAACACGGGCTCTGACTCCAGGGCGCAGTCTTCGCCAGGGTGGCCTCTGGAAACCTGCTGGTCTTTCCAGTTACTCACCATCTAAGGAAACACCCCCACTCTGACTGCCATTCCTTCCTTCCGACCCACCGGGCCGGTTCCTACACCGAGGACGCAGATGAGGCGTCGGGGGGTGGAGACGGCGCACTGTTCTTACCTCACCCCGAGACAGCAGTCCAGGACATGGTGGTTTCTCCAGGGTTTCAGGTTTTTTCGGTCAGGCTGCATATTCTCATGTTTTATGGCCCCTTTTACTCCTTGTGTGACAAGAGTTAAAGGAGCTAATTCACATGCACTGGCTGGCTGTGACCTGGCACACAGCAGGTCTGCAATCAATGTCAGGGGATGCCTCTGAGAACAGACCTCAGCTCTCACACACCCAGAAAATCCTGCGTTCCACCAGGTCGAATTCCAGAGCAAAGGGGCCTGTTTCGACAACCCTGGAAAGAAAGAGGCAGAGCTTCCACGGGAAAAGGCTGAGTGAGTCTCAGGAGGATTTCTGGGAACCAGCAGAGCGGGAGAGCCTGGACTCGGCTCTCTGGAAGAGCACGGAAAGGCGATGGGGCGGATGGCAGGGCCTTCCCTCCACTTCTGGTAAATACAACTGTTTTTTATCCTTTTCATTTCTTTTCATCTATCTCTTGAAGAGTCTTCCAACATTCTGACGTGGCTGTGAAAGAAGAAACTATTTGTGAAAGAAGGGGCCGACGTCTGTGCTGGTAAATGAGCTCTGCTTATTTAAATGTGGCAAGAATGTGGTTGCAAAACAGCCATGAGGGACAAACAATGGACTCACTGACGTGATCTACCGGAACTACAGCGGTCAGAGCAAGGAGGCGCCTCAGGACACTAGGAGGCCTTCTGCTGTTCTCAACATCCACCCACAGGCAGGCGCACCGGTCACCACCGGGTGAAACCCTGAGAAACGCCCAAGACAACGGCGCTGCAGCCACTGGACTTGGGGTGTGGACGGGTCTAGCGGCCACAGGGTTGGGTGGCTCTTTGATTTTAAATGACAGCCAATAACGTTTAATACTTTTAGATTTAACTTCTGAGTGGGCAGATACATTCATGTGGTTCAGAAACGTAAAAATAAGCCCACTTTCGAGAGGTCCGGGGAAGAAGCTACCTCCATCCCCACCCGGACTGCCTGTCCCAGCCCCATCCCCCACCCATGGCCACTTCTATCCGTGTCCAGTGTATTTTTCCAGAGGTTGTTTATGGTGTGTGTGCGTGCAAATGTGAGCGTACGGTCTTGGTTTCCCTTCGTTTTTACACAGAAGGTGGCACCCCAGACACCCTGGTCCTCCGCACCTGGCCTCAGCACTTGGCATGACCCTGGAGGCTCTTTTAACGGCCTCCAGGGAGCACCGCTTCTTTTAACGGCCACAGTGCACCTCTGGATCTGTCACGGTGCACACTGGCTCTGTCCAGTCTTTGCTCCTGTAGACCTCACAGTGATGAAATGCAACAGGACTTCAAGGCTTCCGTGGAACGATCCACAGGGGCCCAGATGGCAACTGGTGTCCCTGGTTCTGTTGGCCCTGTGTCCCCATGTCCCCCTGGCTCGGTCGGCTGTGCCCCTGACCCTTTTCTGGCACTGGTCTTCTGTACGTTAGCACCCTCTCATTTGACGGGACCCAAAAGGGCTCCTGCCAGATGCCACCCTATTAACAAGCCCAGGACCGGCCATCTGTGCCCCACAAGGTTCCTCATCCCTCATTCCTCAAGGTTCCTCATCCCACAAATCTAATCACTGGGAAGTTCTTTATGGTGGCTTCAATCCACCTCCTTATCTCTTCCACTCACCACCCCCATCTTCATGGGGCCACAGGCCACTTATATGGCCCCCCAGTCTTCTCAAAGCAGAACACCCTCTGCCACTCACCCCGTACAAGACCTGGGAATGCCCCCGGCTGTGGGATGACCTGTACCCTGTAACACACGCATGTGCAGTCCCACAGGGGGATCAATTAACAAGAACATGGAACAAAACGATTCCAGATCCAGGAGGAAATGTGCCATCGGCCACATTTGCCTTAAAAAGAGTTACTAAATGTTTTAGCCAACTTCTCATCAATTGTGGAAGGCAAAAATATGTAACCCAAAATGAGGGTACGAAAATGTGCACTTCAAACTTCAAAAGGCCGAGCAGCGTGTCCCGAGCTCGTCCTGGGGGGTCGTTCCTGCCGGACGGCTCTCTCCTATGAGAACTCGCGCCTGCACAGAGCAGCGCTGGCAGGAGCAGGGCCCCTCCCGTTCAGAAGGCTGCCCGGCAACCCCGGAGGTGAATGGGGAGCAGGGCTGGCGGAGGACCCCACGTGGCCCTGTGTGCTGGCCCTGCGGTGGCTTATCTCTCCACGGCAGGCTGAGACCCAGCAGCTCAAACATTGGCCAAACTCTAATTTTCACCCATCCAGCTGTTTTTAAAGTGGACCACACAAGCCATGAGTTAGCCACTCAGAGCCCACCTGCTTGTGTGTACCTGGTGAAACCTCACCAGCAGTTGTGACTTACTGACCAGGAAAGGCCCGGCAGTTGAAAGGCCTTGGACTTGGAGCCGTGCTGCTGGGTGACACCCCCTGGACACGTGAGCCCCTCTCCCTTGGACATCCCTCTGGATGGTGGTCCTGGCGGTACCTCGCTCTGCACAGTCTCCCATTGTGAAGGGCTCCCCTCTCACACAACCAGTCCGAGCACCGCCCGATGAAGCTGGTTGGGCGTTGCTGCCTCTTGTGGGCACATCCGTTCTCCTGATCAGCCCCTAATCCTTCCAACGTCCCACATGCGCACTACTGACACCAGGAGGCACCAGGGCCTGCAGACACCAGCAGAGTCAAGAGCCCGAGAAGCTGCCGGACTTATTCTCAAGAAACGTCCAACGTGATGGCAGGTGATGCACAGAGATTTCCTGCTGATGCCCGTTTTTAACAGTGAAAATAAGCCCGGGTTCAACTCGAGGAGGACAGTCCTGAGGTGACTGTAAACAGTGCCCTCTGGACCTGGGGGAGGGCCCAGGTATTCACATGCGGGATTACAGGTGAGCTCACTGTGGTCACAACAAAAGGCAAGGTGGATGGCAGCACAGACGACTGCCTAACTGGTGGAGACAAGGCAGGACGCGGATTAGCTATTCCTGAAGAGGAGCCAACACTTCAGTTTGTAGAAATGACAGGAACATCAAGTTGCTGGTAAATAATTTCACTTTGAGGTGGCTGGGACGTTTCAGTTCCCTCGCTCTATGTCCCTCATTAGGTCTCTAATCCATGAGTTTGGAACTGATGGTCTCTGACTGAGGCGGCTCCGAGACCAGTTCACCAGCTCCGCAGCTGGGCCAGATGGCGGAGTTTGTCCCTGTGACCCCACGACGGTGAGTCAAACCCTCTCCTGCTTCACGAACACACAAGGCAAGTGGGGACCCACTGCCCAGCCTGCATTTCCAGAAGTAAACAGTTTCATAAAACGCTGTGCCACCTGGTCTACGTGTGACTCTAATGCCCGTCAGATGGTGAGCAAAGTTACAGTTAAGGTGGGCGCTCCGCCCCCCACGCAGCCACGTGTGGAGTTTACGCTCCGGAGCAGCTGTGCGGCCCCAGTTCCTTACCGCCCTCATAGTAGTGCTGCGTGGACTCCTCAAACGACCGGTCGTAGCTCTGCTCCGTGTAGGATGACTGCTGGTAGGCGTAATCGCCGTGTCCTGTGAGCAAGTGGAGATGACCTGTGGTCAGTGGAAGCCCCTGACCACCCAGATCCCGCGGAGAGACAGCCGTGAGCTGACCGGGCAAGGCCGTCGGGTCAGGAGAGAGCCCAGAGCTGGGCGCTAGGCCCGTGGAGGAGCTGCTGACCGTCTCCCGGCCTCGGTTTCCCTACGTTAAAATGCAGACAGCCACCGCTTCATGGGGTGAGCGCAAGGATTAAGTGATGGTTAATAGAGGACAGAGGACGTTCAGCGCTCGATATGCAACGAGCACCAGTGGCCATTAGCTGTCAATGTTGCTGCACAATTGCCATCCTGCTGCCTGCTCCTGGGAGTACCCCACGTGACGGGAGCACACGACCCATCAGGAGGCCTTGTCACAGTTATGTGGTGGGGGCATGGCTTGCCCCGCACGGGTCTCGGCCACCTCCCTACGCCTGCACCCGACTTGTCCTCACTCACACTGCACCCCTGCCTGGGTGTCCTCCTCCTCCTCAAATCCCACCCCTCCTCTATGACCACTTTAAATGCCACCTCCACAAACCTCGGGGCTATTTAGAGACGGTGGTGGTGGTGGTGGTTGCACAACAATGTGAATGTGCTTAATGAAAGGTGACAATTCAAAGGCAAATAACCTGCAGAGATTACTGTGGTGCGGCTGGGAGGTGAGCGTTACAAGACAGGAACAGCAAGGTCAGGTCTGTCCCTCGCTGGAGGCATTTCACAAGGAAGCTGGCGTCCATCTTTTCAAACACTTATATCATCTATGCAGGGGACCGCGCATCCCAGCTTCAAACCCCTGCTGCCTCTCGGGAAGGGAGACGAGGAGCCCCGAGGAGGCGACTGGCCTTGTGTGCCGGAAGCTTCTCTTGGCAGAGACCAGCCCTCGTCCCCACCCCCAGCTGTGCTCAGGCAAGGGGGCTGTGGGTGCCTTGCTGGTGGACATCGGGGCAACAGCTCTGAACTGGGAGGGCCCTCACCGTCAGGGTAGTACTGCTGGCCCATGGGCTCCGCGGCGGCCTGGCTGTGGCCGTACTGCTCGCCGTAGTACTCCTCCTGGCCCAGATACTGCTGGGACGAGCCTGAGGGCGACAGCGAGGGCGTTAGCTCAGGACCTGAGCCGTTCCTGAGTTAGGTCAGGACCCCAACCGGAGAACCTCCTCAATGGGCGTCGACTCGGACACCCCTCGTGCCTCCCCGGGGACAGGGACATGCCCCCCACGTCCAGCCCCTGGACTTTGTACTTACCCCGCCCCCGTCCCAGGCCCTGCACCCAACTCCCCCCCCAGTGGGCTTGAGCCTCAGCCCCTGTGGGAATGGCGCTGGCTTTCCTCCTTCAACACTTCGTGAGCCCCTCGCTGGCTCCAGACCCCCAAGGTCCTTGCTCAATACGGACCAGTGTGTGAAGCCTCGTGCTCTCCAGTTCCTGGTGGGGAAGCACACGGACCAAGGGAGGTGTAGGCGTTACCTTGCTGGGAGGGTCGGTAGGGCGCCATGGGCCGCTGCCCCATCATGCTGCTCCCCTGCCCGCTCTGGCCCATCATGGCAATGGACGACTGGCCCTGGTAGTGCTGGCTCCCGCCCTGTGCCGAGTTGTAGTGGGACGAGGCTGCCTGCTGGTGCATCATGGACACTGGGCGATATGACAAACTCCGAATAACCCCGAGAAGCTCCGGCATGGGCATCCTCACCCCAGACCCCAACCGCGCCCGTCCCAGGCTGAGCCGTCACTGTTCTCCAGCGGCTCCCCCATGAGATTGTCCCCTCGACTCCGTGTCACACGTTCTACCAGCAAACCTTTGTGCTAACTCTTTAAAAATGTGCGACAATCAGAACAAGCCGGCAAGCACCGCGAGGCCGGGAGCGTGCACAGGAACTTGAGCCCTTCCTTCCCCGTCCCTAACCCCCCAGGCTGGCCCTAGAGGAGCCAGCTACCCTCGCCCACCCCGCGACTCGGGCTCAGGTGGGTGGTCCCCTACTCCCTGACCTGTCACTCATGTCACCCCTGCTCGGAACCCTCTAGAGCTGTGCTGTCCAACAGGGTGGGATGTGAGCCACGTCAGGAAAGTAAAAAGAAACAGGTGAAGCCTACTTTAGTAATATATTTTATTTGACTCAATATATCCAAAATATCATTTTCAATATGAAATTAATATTAAAAAATACTAAGAAGATACTTCACATCCTCTTTTCCTGTTCTAAGCCTTTGGAATCCAGTGTGTCTGACACTCATGGGACATCTCAAGGTGGACTGATGCGGCCCAAGTGCCCGAGGCCCAGTGGCCACCGCAGTGGAGAGCCCAGCTCTCAGGGCTCCCGCTGGCCCCAGAGAACATCCTGGCCCGTCGCCTGCTGTGTGTGGCCCTTCACCCTACCACTTCTATGCCTCTGGCCATGCTGTCCCTCCTACCTGTGTGAGCCTAATCCTGTCCTCTGGCAGGACGTGTGCCGCCCCTCCTCAGAGCCTTCTTGAAGCTGCCATGGGGAGCAGTGCAGCCCCCCCAAAGCCAGGCCCTGCCCCTCAGGACACTCCTGGAGGAGGGCAGCTCTCGGGACCCGTCCTCTCCTCCCTCCAGCACAGCCCAGTGCCCAGCAGGAGGGCGGCCCTCAGGACCACGCGCACAGCCTGCACACATCTCAGAGGGGCCCAGGGGCAGGTGCATGCCCAGGCCTGGTTGGGCGGGGGCGTCACAGGGCCCAGCGGGGAGGTACCTGGGTTGGACTGCATGTTGATGTTGGCCCGAGACACGTAGTTGCCGATGGCACCTTGCCCCTGCAGGGGCACACTCTGCGAGGCGGGTCCCGAGTGGCTGTAGCCGGGCCCCGTGCCGTGGCCGCTGCCAGACATGCTCATGGAGGTGGTGGGCAGCGTGCTCTGTGCCGTCTGCTGCATGGACACGTGGTTCGGACCTGCCAGGAGGGACAGGGGTGGGGGGGCCTTAAGCCCATCTAAAACCACCTGTGACAGCAGGGCTGCTGAAACAGCAGGAAACACCCCGAGTTTCCTGCAAGTGATTGTGGGGAGGGAGGCTGACCATGGTCAATACTGCTATGAATGAAGTAAACAGCTGAGTGATTAATCAAGAAATAAACATACGTGCTGACAAAGTAGAAGGTGAGTTGTGTATTCATTGTTACATTGTTATTAATAGTTCCCAATAATTATTAATAATTCTGACCCAAAGACAGGAGCATTTTCCCTCTTGTTAGAAGATCCACATGGAACCCCACCCTGGATCTGAAGTGGCCATATTTAGTGTCAAAGCAGAGCAGAGATCTGGAACAAGGCCGTTATTCCCTCTGCACGTTACCCTCTGCGCATGTGTGCCTGGGCACAGCAGCCAACCTGGAGCCAGGCCCCCTGGAAGGAGGGGGGCCTCCCATGCTCAGCCCTGTGGGGCGTGGGGTACCCCACGGGGGCAGCCGTCTACCTAGGAGCCTGCGTCATTGCCAGGAACCAACCCCAAACCCAAAGCCCAGCCCAGAAGTGCTCAGGGCCACTCACCATTGCCAATCTGGCCCTGCATGAGGGAGGACGGGGGCAGGCCTGTGCCGATGGCGTCGCTGAGGCTGCTCTGGGAGTGCAGGCTCTGGCCGGAGCTGCTCTGGGACAGTGCTCCGGGGCCCAGGTTCATGTTCTGGGTTGGCGGCTGCAGGCAACAGGAAGGTTACAAGGAGCGTGGTTGACACAGAGAACGACACCAGAAGCCACTCCCGGGATCTGCAGTCCATGAGATTTCCAGCTACATCTCATGGCCACCTGGCAAATATCTATAACCAACCGCTGCTCTCACCCGCAGCAGGTGACCACGGGGTACCAGGTCCAAGCATCTCAGGCCAAGATGCAGATGATACGGCAAGTGTTCTGTGTAAACGTTCAGAACTTAAACGAGTACCAAGCTTATCATGACACACTGGGAGGTTCAAAGCTGGGTCCCCCTTTCCTGGGATTCAGGGAACCACTTCACCGGCCCAGGTGGCTGCACCCACCTCGTTGCTCCACACTCCTCCCTGCCCCTCTCAGACTCAGCTGGCCAGGCGTCTCTGTGTCCCTCAGCCCCTCAAGCCACAGGGCCTTTGCACAGGCTGTCCTGTGCCTCAGCACCGCATTCCCAGGCGCTCCTCCTGTGCATGTCCTTTCCCTCCCCTCCTCTCCACACCCACGCCCACCCCTGATCACAAGACGGAGCAGGGAGATGGGGTTTGCAAGTGGCCTCCCTGCACCCTCATCTCCCAAATCCGAGGCCAAACAGCAGCTCCGAAGGTCTGGACACAGATGCTGTCTACACCTGGCCAAGAAAATGAACTTTCCAGCAGGATCTGCTGGTATCTCCAGGGTGAAGAACCCGATTTGATAGGCCAATCAAAGTTGGTTTAACATTTTTACTAGCAAAAGACATCCTGGTGTTCATGATGGGGACTAGGGCATCGGGAGGTAAGGCTTCCCCACATAACATGAGTCCCGGAACCTCGTCACCCAGCACGGTCAACAGGGCTGGTCCTTCCTGAGGCTGTGCCCTCCCCTCCCTCAAAGGAGGCCCGAGGCAGATGCCCCTGGATCTTGCCTTTGCAGCAATAATTTATTTGAGGAAAACGCGTTTTAAAAAGTCAAACAGGAGGGCCGGCCCCGTGGCTTAGCGGTTGGGTGCGCGCGCTCCGCTACTGGCGGCCTGGGTTCGGATCCCGGGCACGCACCGACGAGCCACTTCTACGGCCATGCTGAGGCTGCGTCCCACATACAGCAGCAACTAGAAGGATGTGCAGCTGTGACATACAACTATCTACTGGGGCTTTGGGGGAAAAAAATAAATAAAATTATTAAAAAAAAAAAGTTTAAAAAGTCAAACAGGAAATATTTATATTAATATTTGAAGTGTTTACTGCACTGGGCATTTTTTTTTTTTTTGTGAGGAAGATTAGCCCTGAGCTAACATCCATGCTAATCCTCCTCTTTTTGCTGAGGAAGACCGGCTCTGAGCTAACATCTATTGCCAATCCTCCTCCTTTTTTTTCTCCCCAAAGCCCCAGTAGATAGTTGTATGTCATAGTTGCACTTCCTTCTAGTTGCTATATGTGGGACGCGGCCTCAGCATGGCTGGAGAAGTGGTGCGTCAGTGCGCGCCCGGGATCCAAACCCGGGCCGCCAGTAGCGGAGCGTGCGCACTCAACCGCTAAGCCACGGGCCGGCCCCACTGGGCAGTTTTTTTAAGTTTTGTTGATGAACCACGGCAGCGCAAGATCGTGGGTCATAATTTTTAAATCGCTCAGAAGGGCTCACAGTCAAAAGCAAGGAACCCCCATGGCTCTTCCTGTTGTCCCCAGATCCGCGTCCCACCATTCCTAGGTTTGCTTCCTCTGGGGTCACTCACCTCCCTTTGCTAAAGACGCCGATGGCACCACTCTGGCCAGTCCACTTCAGACACGTCCGACTGACCTCCCATGTGACGGGAGGACCCACCCCGCCCCCGTCTCACGCTCCTGCCTGTCGCTTTGGGGCCTCCAGGGAACACACCCAGATCTCTGCTCCCCACGCTGGCAGCTGGGGCCGTGCGTGACTATGCTGGGCAACAGTGAGGAGCCCCCGTCCCCATCTGCAGACACTCACAGCGGGGAGCAGGGACTGCATGTTCTGGTTGGAGTCCGCGATCGTGGCCAGGTAGACCAGGTTCCGGTGCAGGATCTGCTGGTACCTGCAGGCGAGGGGCGCACCGTGAGGCGGAGGGGCCCGCGGGCCCATCCAAGGCAGAAGTAGTTTATCCTGGACAGCCTCGCCCTGCAGCCAAGCCCCGGGGACAGTGCAGGTGGCAAAGCGCTCTGCAGGCCGGGACGGGGCTAGGGGGGCAGTGGGATCCCATCCCACCACACAATGCCGGAAAGACCCTGAGGCAGTGGCCAAGGGGGAGGCGCCACCCCGTCTGTTCAGAGGGTGGAGGTGGTGGGTGGGTCACGCAGGAGGGAATGCCAGGGGACAAGCCCTCCTCTGGCTGACCCTGACACCAGGCTAACCGGATACCCCAGCCCCCTGAAGAGGTGCTCAGAGGGCACAGGGAAACTCAGTTCAACAGAGGAGCGCCTCCGGGCGGGTGTGGCGGCCACCCTGTGCACCTGCTGTGTGTCCAGCCCTGGGGCGTCACAGGAGGTCCTATCTGGAGGAGCTCTCTGTCCTCTGAGGCATCCACCAGGTGCAGCTGGCCTGGGCCTCCCCCAGCAGCCTCTCCTCCCACACTTCCACTGCCCTCCAAACCTTCCCACCTCGCCTTGGGGAGTGACCTGGGGGAATGAGGCCACCCTCCGAGGACTGACTCTTAGCAGCTTAGATGACCTCTGCCAGACTTGCTGAGGCCACTCAACGCCCCAAGAGGAAGTTGGGAGGGGCCGGCAGGGCAGGGGCGCGGCCACTTACTGCGTGCACTCGGCGGTCTTGCCCTTGCTCTGGTAGTCCAGGATGCACTGGATCAGGTGATGGTTCTCGTCCAGCATCTGAAGGAGAAGTGGACGTGAGCGCGGGAACACACATGCGTCGGGTGCCCCGCAGGGGGCTAGAGGGCGCTGGCTGGAGTTGCTGGTTAGATGTGTGACGGTACCTGTCATGGGTGTGCAGGTGTTCTTTGTACAAACTGTCACTCTTACATGTAACCTCAGCAAGTGGGACCAGGCACTTTCCACATCCCTGTGGGCCAGGGTCAATCCCCCCAACCCCGCAGGTAGCCCCCAGCCTCTCTCACCCTGCAGATGAAAACCCACAGCCCGCAGGACCCCCATTTTCTGGGCCCTTGACCACGATGCATCTGTCCAGCTTGGGGGGCCAAAGTTCACAGCAGGGATTCCAGGACCCCGAGCCTGGGTCTGGAGGGGGTAAGATCCGCAATCACAGCCGCACTGGGCGGGCACTTCTGGGGGAGGCAGCTCGCATCCCTGCAGAGCATCACGAAGACCTACAAGAGCCATCTTTTCAGGATGGCCACCTGGGGGGCAGTGCCTGAGATGGCTGGGGGAGACGCAGGAGGAGGAGACGGAAGAAGCAGGAGAGGGAGGAAGGCCTAATGGGAGTGTGGGAGGCGCCGGCCATGAGAGCTGCAGCAGAGGCTGCAGTGGCACAGAGGGCTAGACCAGGTCCGGTCAGCACGGGATGGCCAGAGGGGCACAGAGTGAAGCGGCCAGCTTATTCATCGCCTGTTCATGCAGCCAGCCTCCCGCTCTGGAGGGAGGGGCAGAACTGAGCCCACCGCAAATGATGCTTTCCATGAAAAGGCCTTTCCTCAGAAACTTTCGTCAAACGAAAAATCTGTGCTTTTCATCTCCACCAAATTGTGCCCCGTCATTTTGGCCCAGAGGTTCCTCCGGGTGGGCTCAGCTCTGCAGGCCTCTGAGCAGGCGGAGGGGCCCACCTGCCTGCCACCGTGCGGGTAACCCCACACACTGTCCTGGGGGCCCATAACTGCACTCTCACCTCGAGGCCCTGCTCCTTCAGAATCCCGGGCCAAAACCTGCCCACAGAGGGGAGACCAAGGCACAGAGCCCGAGTCCACCCCAAGCCCTATAGAGCGACCGCCCTGGCTCAGCTTCTCCCTCCGCCCTCGGCCTCCATGACTTCAGGGTTTGCTTCTCTTGCTCAGTTTTTCACGTTAGAGCTTCCTCCTCTCTATGCTTTGCCGTTTCTCTCCACTGAGGAGATGACGCCCCAAGTTCAGCAATTCCCACCCTGGCCAAGGAGCTGGCCTGAGACAGGGAAACCACCAGGGGGCGCTGAGGGCCAGGAATTGCCCATGGAGCTCACCTGGGGGCATGTGAGGGGCAATTAAACACAGGAGGATGGGGCATTCCGGCCATTCACACATCAAGACTCTTTCTCCAGATGAAAGGAAAAACGACTTTTCATTTTCTTTTTTTAAAATATTTTATTTATTTATTTATTTTTGCGGGGAAGATCAGCTCTGCGCTAACATCCATGCCGATCCTCCTCTTTTTGCTGAGGAAGACTGGCCCTGGGGCTAACATTCAAGCCGATCTTCCTCCACTTTATATGGGAAGCCGCCACAGCATGGCCTGACAAGTGGTGCATCGGGGTGCGCCCTGGATCCGAACCCGGGCTGCCAGCAGTGGAGCACACACACTAACCACTATGCCACAGGGCCGGCCCCAGAAACGACTTTTCTTAAGAAAGGAAAACAACTGCGAAAGACCGTCTTCCTGTCCCTCCGAGAGCCACCCTTATATAAGGCTTCACAGCTTCAACTCGTGGACTCGTAATTCCGTGGCAAGAATTCTCTCCCAAGGACACACGCTGCATACTAAAACGTTTTATGCACAGATGTCCATCTCAGTATCATTGATAACAGCTCAAGAAAGGGGGAAGCAAGCTAACCCTGATGGCCTAGTTGTTAAAGTTCTGTGTGCTCTGACTCAGCAGCCCAGGTTCAGTTCCCGGCACAGAACCACACACTCATCTGTCAGTAGCTGTGCTGTGGCGGCGGCTCACATACAACTAGAAGGACTTACAACTACAATATACAACTATGTACTGGGGCTCTGGGGAGAAAAAAAAAGACAGAGGAAGATTGGCAACAGATGTTAGCTCAGGGCAACTCTTTCCCAGCAAATAAAAGGGGGGTGGTGCTAAATGGTCAATGACGGGATTACTTAAGCAAATTACGGTGTAACTATACAATGAGATGTCAGCCAGCTGCTACAAATGTTTTTGTAGTGTTTATAAGCATGAGAAAATGTTATACTGTTAGGATGTTTTTTTTTTAGCAAGAAGGGTACAGAGTACTATCTCAGTTAAGTTAAAAACACTCAGACAAAAGGCCAGGACCCATCAGGTGAAAGATGGTGGACAGGATGCCCACTGTGCTCTGAGCCCTTGCAGGCCCAGCTGGTGCGTGAGTGATGAAGAAGGGAACCGTTCATAAGGACAAAGAGAACAGGGCTGAGGGAGTAGTGCCAGCAGCAGCATTCTAGAAGTGGAAAGCAAATGGATGAGCGACAACCGAATTAGCAGAACCCAGGAGGCTGGATGTGACACTGAGCCACACTCAGGAGCCCATAGGGTTCAGGAAGAGATCCCGGGCCTTCCCCACAGCTACCTGGCCGGGGACGAGGGGGTGGGGGGCGGCACGGGGGAGAAGGGCAAGGCAGCTCCAGGGAAATGACCAGCCTCCAAGGAAAGTGCCAAGACACTGAAGGCAGAAGAGCACCTCCAGGTGAAGGCACAGATCAATCCGGCAGACTTTCCCCTGGTGCCCTAGTCCTAAACATGAGCGCACGGCTGAGCCACACCAGCATTTGCGGAAAGCCTGTAATTGAGACAAACCAAAAGCAGCCACAGAGGCCAAAACCTGGAGGAGATGAAGACTATGCAAGAAGGAAACTTAAAAAGCAAAAAGAAAGAAAACCACAACTATTATTAATATCCTTAAAAGATAAAAATTATCATAGCCATAAAAAAAAGATGCTATTAAAAACAACAGAGATAGAACAAAAAAGAGTTCTCGGATATTTAAAATATATTGACCAAAGCAAAAACAATCAACAGAAGTGTTGGAATACAAAGTTGAAGAAAATTCCTAGAAAGCACATCAGAAAGACCAAGGTAGAAAAAAGAGACGATAATGAAATTAAAAGAACGATCCAAGTGGCCAAAAACAATTCTTCCATGACTTCCAGAAAGATGGAAAACAGAGAGAGAAAATTATCCAAAAACATCGTTCAAGGGGTTTTGTCAGAGCTGAAGGAGGTGAGTTTCCAGGTTCTCTAAGCACCCAACTTGCCAAAAAACACCGGGGACAAAGAGAGATCCTAAAAATGATAGGATGAGAAACAAGGGCACTGAGCTTCTCCACTCAGGCTAGTGGAGGAGCAATGACCCCAACATGAGGGAGACTTCCAGAGGAGAGATGACCTCATCCCAAGAGACTTCTGTAGGAGCAATGATCTGATGCTGAAGGAGACCTCCTGAGGAGAGATGACCTGATCCTAGGGAGATTTCTCGAGGAGAAATGATCTGATCCCTGGAGGAGACTTACTGAGGTGAGATGACCTGATCCCGAGGGAGATTTCTGTAGTAGTGATGACCTGATCCTGAGGAGACACTTCCTGAGGAGAGATGACCTGATGCTGAGAGAAACTTCCTGAGGAGAGATGACCCAATCCTGAGGAAGATTTGCTGAGGAAAGATGACCAAATCATGAGGGAGACTTCCTGAGGAGAGATGACCTGATCACAAGGAGAGACTTTCTTAGGAGAGATGACTTGATCTGAGGAGGACTACCTGAGGAGAGATGACCCAATCCTGAGGGAGACTTCCTGAGAGACATGACCCAATCCTGAAGGAGACTTCCTGAGAGAGATGGCCTGATCCTGAGGGAGACTTCCTGAGGAGAGATGACTTGATCCTGAAGGAGACTTCCTGAGAAGAGATGACCTGATCCTGAGAGAGACTTCCAGAGGAGAGATGTCCTGATTTCAAGGGAGACTTCCTGAGGAGTGATGACCCAATCCTGAGGGGAAACTTCCTATGGAGCAATTACCTAATCCCAAGAGAGACTTCATTAAGAGAGATGACCCAATCCTGAGGGAGACTCTCTGTGGAGAAATGCCATGAAGCTGAGGGGAGACTTCCTGAGGAGAGATGTCCCAATCTTAAGGGAGACTTCCTGAAGAGAAATGACCTGATCCTGAGGGGAGACTTCCTGTGGAGCAATGATCTGATCCCGAGAGAGACTTCCGGAGGAGAGATGACCCAATCCTGAGGAAGACTTCCTGAGGAGAGATGACCTGATCCTCAGGGGAGACTTCTTGAGGAGATCCTGAGGGGAGACTTCCTGAGGAGAGACGACCTGATCATAAGAGGAGACTGTTTGTGGAGCAATGACCTGATACTGAGGTAGACTTCTGCAGTAGCAATGACCCAATCCCAAGAGAGACTTCCAGAGGAGAGGAACCAATCCTGAGGGAAATTTCCTGAGGAAAGATGAAATGATCCTGAAGGGACACTTCCTGAGGAGAGATGACTTGATCCTGAGGGGAGACTTCCTGAGAAGAGATGACCCAATCTTGAGGAAGATTTCTTGAGGAGAGATGACTGGATCCCAAGGGAGACTTCCAGAGGAGACATGTCCCAATCTTAAGGAAGACTTCCTGGGGAGCAATGACCTGATCCTGAGGGGAGACTTTCTGAGAAGAGATGACCCAAACCTGAGGAAGACTTCTTGAGGAGAGATGAACTAATCCTGAGGGAGACTTCCTGAGGAGAGATGATCCGATCCTGAGGGAGACTTCTTGAGGAGAGATGTCTGATTCTGAGGGAGATTCTACAAGAGTGACAACCTAATCCAAGGGAGACTTCCTGAGGAGAAATGACCTGATCCCAAAGGAGACACCCTGAGAAGTGACAACCTGATCTTGAGGGAGACTTCTGTAGGAGCAATGATTCAATCCTGAGGGATACTTTCTGGGGAGAGATGACCTGATCCCAAGGA